TGATGTCAACCTGCACTCTCACTAAGTTTTCTAAGAAGGTCATCCCGGTGTCCTTGCTCTTTTGCATCTATCTCAATGACTGACTCAGTGACTGACTGACCGACTGATTCTCACGTGTGACCTGGGCAGTGCTATCGTATAGGATTGCCCCATAATGGATAAACCGATGTCATATGAAATTTGGACTCCTGTGAAATCTGGCCTTAAGACTCTCAGCCAATCAAATAGATTGGCGGCTTTCTAGGACCAATTAGGCTTGTCTTGTTACTTGAATATATTTTTCCTATTGTTTTTTTTTCGTATTGTTTTGTCAGCTTTTTGTTAAATACAGTTATACTTCTGTCTTTTTATCGAGCGAAATAATCAACCATGGTCTTATCTTATTTTGTTGATGTTTTGTTTGGGTATACGTCGTCCTATATAGTTCTCTGCTTTATAGTGCATTTCCAAATTTCTCTGCAAGGGGGCTTGCGGGAAATAAATTGCTTTTTGGCACCCGAAGACAATCTTGTATCGTAACGGGGCAAACGGAAGGTGAGAAATAACAGACCAGAAAATGTCAAGACGGTTTGTTTGCCTCTTGGAACACTTAGCAGTACAGTTAATTGTCATTGGGGCAGGCCGGTTGCGCATGACACATCTTGCCGTTTCCGTATTCACGACTCTTCAAGACGCTTCCCCAGAGGTGTAACCTTGCGTCATTCACAGACCCTCTCCCGCTGAAAATTCCCCCATCATCAAAGACATGATAGACGGAATATGAAATGATGTTTGTCGGAATTTGTTTACGGCATTTGGCCGTTCCAGTGCTAATGTATGCGCACGAAAGTGGCCTTTTTACCCCCTCCTCGATCGAGCCCTTTGGGAATGTTTAGTCTCGCGTTGTGCCTTCTTATTTAACGCCTCCCTGTTTGATTATGTATTGCAAATGCATGGAATTATTGCTGTTTATAGTTTGTCGAAGGCTCAATTCCATGCGTCAACAAATTCTGACCTTATTCTCTTTCATGTCTACCGAACGCTTTGACTGCATCGCATCAGGATAAGCACTGTTTATACAAGTACATAATTATGTTTTTGAACAATATTATTATTACATTCAACTATTTATAGGCTTCCATAAAACAGGGTTATTTCTGATTTATTTTAAATGCTTATTTTGACACAACTTCAAATTCATTCCATAATTGGAATGAATACACATGGGCAATTCCAAGAAAACAGGAACATGATAAACCCAAAAAATCAAATTCATTCCTGAACTTTCTTTTCATTTTGAAGTTATTGCTAATAGATGTAAGGACCAGGATATAAACTTTTTTAGTCAAATTTTCATCGTTTTCTATGAAATATGTCACGTTTCTTCCTGGTGATGTTTGGCTTATAAAATGTACTACTTTATGTGCATTTTCATTTGTTTGCATATTTTTCTTGGAAAAAGCATTAGTAACAAACTTATTATGCAATTTAGTAGTATGACTTTATACCTTAAAAACAATAAAATAAAAATCTGCCCATGACTTTTGCAGGTGCACAGCTGTTGACACTTAGCCATATGAAATGCCAGTGACGAAAAGATCTCTTTTTTATTATTATTTTAAACTGGTAGTGATTATATTGCTGACAATTGATAATTTGCTTCTCCCACCTATACCAAGTATAAAAGCAACAAGTATTAAAACCAAAAACCCAGCACATTATAATAGAGAGCCCTTGAAATTTGAAATGCGAGTGACAAATGAAATGCGAGTGACAAATGAAATGCGACTGGCGGTATCACTTTTTATTATAAGAATGCAGACAGAGAAGCTCTTAGATGGTAATATTGAGGGAAATGCATAGTACATTGTGCATGCACTAAGTATGCATATTTTCGTAGATCTATAGAAGGCAGGCATCATTTATGGTACCCATGATGCATTGTATCTCCATAGGAACAGTTCCAAGTTTTATATCTATATGAACAGTCCGATCCTACACAAATAAAACTTGTAAGTTAACTGTTGAAAGTCAATTTTGGTGAAATAATTCATGCTCCTGCTGCTAAGGTTGTGAGTTCATTGAAATAGTACATGAGTGGATGAACACAATTCACTGTTTAATAACTAATAGGCATGGGATCGGGACTGCAGAAACTAGAAAGCTAGTGCCTTTGCGGCTGCGGATCACTAAATTACAGTACATTTGTAAATATTTCAGAAAACACTTTTTTTCCATTGTAATTAATATTTTGAGTCTTTTTAAACAACTTTGTAGGTTGTTTGAAAAGACAAAGCCCAGATTTGATAAGAATTGTAGAGGAAAAGCTTCATTTTGATAATAACTTAGTTAGTTGACAAACTGAAATGCGAGTGACTGAAATGCGAGTGACGACACTTTTCCCCCTAACTTAAAAACAGTTAGTTGTTGAAGATATTTGTTGCCCTCATTTATACTTCAGTATGGTAAATATCTAGTTCATATAACCATTTGGTTGTGGTGCGTTTGGTTTGAGGAGACTTTTCAATTAAAACTAAGACAATTTTTGGCATGTCCTTATGACGAAATGCGAGTGACATTTTTTTCCAACAGTGCCATGCTCATAATAGGATCCTTAAATTTTTCATTATTCCATATAGGGTTAAAGCCTTAGATATTGAGTATTTCCAAACCAAAAATGAAAGAGTAATTCTCTTTTTCGTAAGAAGTACACCACTAAGATTGAAAAAGGATGCAAAAAAGTGCCATGCGAGTGACACTGGAATCGCCCATATGTGTTGCTGCTTCTTTTATTCCCTCTTTTATTTTATTTTTTTTTTTTGGGGGGGGGGGAGTTGTGAAGAGACGGGGATTGTTTTTCCTTTTGCTATTTTTTGTTGCTTGCATTTGATTTCGTTCAGTTTTGTTTTCTTCTTTGTTGATATTACTTTTGTGAAACAGATGTACACTCGTACACAGTGAGTGTACATGATAGACTGACAAAAGTTGGAGAAAATATTCAATTATCCAGTTTCCGATAATTATTACATTATTGAATGCTCTTCCCGATTTTCCCCCTCCAAGTCCGCCCCCTCCACGCCCCGTCCCTTAATTTACCACTATTGTGATATTTGAACAGCTGTTGAGGTTATGGTGCCTATGACATGCGCCCTCTTGCGGCCGTGCTGACACCAAAACAAAAGTTTTGTTTTCCGAAAGCCACTTACAGGCGTCTGTACTTTGCCAAATTTGTGGTTTATTTATCCGAAATTGAAAACATTTGTCTGATCCGTTCTCCCATGTAAACTGAGGCTCACAGTGCGGCATAAACTATACCGACCTCATAAGCGTAGGTGGCAATTTATTGGTAATTTTATACGCTTGACCGGCAATTCAATTCTGAGAAAGCAGCGTTAGATCGAAAAAAAAACCCTGTGATTTACTGGAGCGAACATAAAGAGGAAGGGAAATTGACAGCAATCGAGTGATCGTTTTATGTCTGTTGATGGGAGGCAGTTGCTCGCCGCAATACTCCCGGAGAAATATTGATCGAATCACATTTTCCGGGGCTAAGAAAAGTTTAAGGTCGTGCTGGAGAAGATTTGTAGATTGTTCACAAATCAATAAAACAGTGGGGGATAAAGAAAATTGGTTCCCTTGGCAAATCGAACAGACGTAGTTGGCAGAGTCGTTTTAAGGAAGAAAAAAAGGCAACAAGTTCTAGCGTGTTAACGGCAGGCACATACAATAATTGCCTTATGTTTCATTAGAAGTATGATTTAAAAGTATGATTTAGAAGTATTATTTTCAATTAAGTTTTCATTTTTATTGAAGTAGATTTAATTTTTCTTTCTGATTCATGGCTCTGGACGATTTGTTTTAAAGGACATAAAGTTCAAGAATCATTCGATTGGCAACGCATGCGCGCAACGGTCAACTTCGATCTGTAAAAATAGCAACATCGATTTTTTGTTTATTTAACAACTAAGCAGATTTTAATTGGGTAAATTGTGTGTCTTCTTCGAGCTATTTTGGATTGATTTCAAAATAATTGAAATATATTCTTGAAAACCGACATTTCCTTTGAGATTTTATGGCGTACACGGGGTAACACGGGGTGGTTCGAATCCACCTGTGCATGCGCTGATTCACTCATTGGCCGATTGGGGGCGCTTGTCACATTTGCTGTCAAGGGAGAATTCAACATGGCGACTCCCATGGAACGAAATTCGTCTGCTGAAGTTTGAAGGCCGATTTACATTTTGGACTTAAAACGAGAAACTCCCGCACTGTAACGTTGGTAATAAAACAAAAGCTCGAAACATTCGAAGTGTATTTTCGTTCCGTGTTGATCTATTTGTGTTATTTGAAGGAATTTTTATTGGAATTCTATTTTAAACTGAAACAGCACTGCAGGCTAGCCGAGTTTTCGGACGAATTGGTTTGTGAGGAAATCAATATTTGCAAAGTGTTTTATTTCTCCACTGGGAAAAAAAATGTTGCAACCTGACGCTGCTTTTTTTCTGCATATAGGCCCAATCCTATCATCTCAATGAAGGTCAGTCATTGCAAAAATGATATTGATAAGACATGAATCTGGCACTGAGAATCATTTCCAATTTTGTTAGGAAATACTTGGGAAAATTTTCTTGACTCTCCATAGACTTTGTACACAACCGCTGAAGTGGCGTCAGGTTGCAACATTTTTTCCCTCCATTGTCGTAGATAAAATAGGCGCAGAGCTCCCTCTTCCCTATTTAAATGACCAAAATATCAGAATAGAAGAAGTATTTCAAAAACCCTTTCTTGCTGATGCAAAATTGTGTCCAAAGGAGCCAGCAGTCACCCTTTCAACATAACTACAAGTTTGTTAGCAACAAATAAGAAAACAATACGTATATTGGCAATGTATTTCCAAAGTATATTGCAAATGTATGAATTTTAAACAAAACTTGAATACAAAAGGAGATTGGAAGGGAAAAGGATGAGACAGTGGTTAAATGCTTTACTTTGCCCAATAAAGAGTTGTCTTTGTTTTTCAGACAAGATCAAAGTTACCTGAGCGATGGAAGCGTTACTGAAGCGGGAACTTGGACTGAGCTTTGTCGAGGCCAATGGTCAGCAAGGGGAAGGTTGGATCAGTGACGGGTTAGGATACAATACTGACAAGGGCCAGATCTTCGCCAAGATCAACAAAAAGAAAGAGGTATTGTAAAAATATAACCATCTGTACCAGGTGTGTGAACAGCATGTCTGGCATTATTTTAATTCCTCTAAATTTCTTATGGCCTCACCAAGAAGAACCGCTGATGTGACCGTCAAGTGGATTAACCTTAATATTACAAGTACACTACTGGGATTATTAAAAGCCCTTCCTCTGCAGGGGATTAAGAGCCTCTGTTCTCTTAAGTAGATTAAGTGGATTAGAGCCCTGGCCCTCCACCCCAGGTTGGGATCTCTATTGTTCATGAAATACTTTCTCAAGTGGGTTACTTTTTGTTTTATAAGAAATGTTTTGTTGTTAAGGAATTCCTTTATGCGTGAGCACTTTCACTATAAAAACCCTGGTTGTCTTCGGCCTGTGGTGGACTTTGATACTGGGCGTTGCCCGTGCAAGTTGTTTTGTATATTTATGTGAAAAATGAGTACTGGTAGATAGGCCTGTACTGCTGTGCCTGAATTTGTAAGTTCTGTATTTTATCTCATTTAGCTCCCCTCCAACTGCTATTTATGTTTGTCATTGATATATTCTTTAGAGTTGTAATTTTTGCTTTGTATTTTCAATTACTTTGGTAGATCCATAATAGGGCCCTGTAGGATGATCAAAATTGGGGCCCACAGTACAATATACTGGATACCATGTATCCACACTGCTTTTGTTTATCATCAGCACACCCTCATCGTAATAATGGTGATTGTTGGAGAATTTGGAAGAATTGAGGCAGTTGTCACCCCTATGCAGAACAAAGTCAAGAAATAATGGAGGATTTTGGAGGATTGAGGCTGAATACAATATATGTACTTGCAGGCATTTGAGGATTGTGAAGGATGGTTTCTAGCCTAGTGCCAAGGCTGGTAATGTTAATTGATTTCATCTGCAACTCCATACACCCCAAAATATATAAAATCTAACTTGTTTTTAGTGTTTGATTCTCTCAGATATCTTCTCTGGTATTTCCAGGCGAAGGTAATGTTTGATGGTGAGCTCGCAAGCTTGGAGGCAATCATTGCCACAGACACGGTCCGAGTTCCCAAACCCATGAAGGTGATGGATCACCCGACAACAGAGGGCGCTGTGCTTGCCATGGAGCACCTGGACATGAGGGGCTTGAGTACGTACGCTGCCAAGCTGGGTGAACAACTGGCCAGGTTGGCATCAAATTACTTATTAGAACATTCTAAACACTTGGTAAAATTGTGTGGAAGCTGCTTGGTTTAGTTTTCTTTATTAGATTAACTGTCAGTGATGGCCTGTTCCTGAGCTGTTAGGCATTTTGTATGAGGATGTTTTGCATTGGAGAGATGTCAATTTACTACATGCATTGAAGGGCTAAACCCAGGATTGAAAGGTTTTTGGCACACAAATATGCTAAGCGTAAACAAAAAGATATTTACTAAGTTGTAACTGGTTGCTATTCAAAATGTTAAACTGGTACTAGCTGTTGCAGCATGTTAACATGCTAAGCAATCTTTCCTTCTTATAGACTGATCCATTAGGCCCCGCCCACTGCACACTCGGGCAAAAACGTGTGCGTCTCTCCAATGCCACACTGCACTATGCAGCTGCCTTACGCATGTTCATCACGGCTGTGATTGGTCAGAACAGTGTAGGGCGTGGCTTAATGAATTAGTCTAGTGTTTTGTATCCTTTCACAGTTATGAAACCTCATCCAATTTGGAAACGATTAACTATCGTCAATGTGTTATTATTTGCTTGCCTTTTTTGCCAGGATGCACCTGTTCAACGAGGAACTAATGAAGCAAAAGGTAGCCAATGAGATTCGGGTCGGAGGGGGTTGTGACGTGGAGTGTGTCACCAGGTTTGGTTTCCCTGTTGCCACCTGTTGCGGCATCGTCCCTCAGGACAACGAATGGTGCGATGATTGGGTGGTGAGTTGATGTCCTTTGCTACCCTCTACATCACATATCACGGCTCTATTTCTTATGTTATCTTCATCTTCATTTACAGTTGAATGATAATCCTCAGCGACCTTTCTTCTAATTCTTCTAAACAGTCCATGGTATAAACTTGAAACTTTGAACAAACATCAACCCTGCAATGTCCAATTAAATAGTTGCCTGCCTGATCCCCTTGTGCTAGCTCTAGTGTTTTTTTTCCTTTCACTGGTAATTTTTATAAGCACCTTATGCTCAGTGCTGCCCGACGGCTTGCGAGAAAAATTCACAAGCTTCTCGGGTGGGACTCGAACCCATGATCTCATGCTTCTAGTGCAGACGTCTTACCACTCTACCACTGAGCTTGCTGGGGTCAGTTGGCAGGTTTGATTTGTATGTATTAGCCAGGGTTCCCACAGTCATGGAAAATCATTGAAAGTCATGAAAAAGTTTTAATTGAAAAATTGATATTCCAAAGGAAAAATTCATGGAAACATTATATCATTTTGCGCAACCCATATGAGTGGATGCGTGACGTTTAGCTATGGCAGTCTTCTAGGTTACATTGCAGTTTACTAGACGTCTTCTTTATGCATAATTATCTAGATTTCTAGCTTCCGTATCACTGAAGTACATGTGCCTACTTTACTGTCCTAGAAGGATTCACATCACTAGTTACCTTAATCTAATGCTTTGTAAAGAGCTCCTAAGAGCACCAAAATAGAAGGAGTTTGTCCTGGAAAGTATATACAAGGAAGGAACATTTTGTGTTGTTTTTTTTTTACTGCAGGAATCATTTCGGATCTGAGTACAGACAGTCGACTATTTCAACCATGAAATCCATCATCAAATGATGCCACTAAAAAAATGTCTTCAAGGTAAGCAAGGTCCTATTGCGTTCTCATTACGGAGGGATGTGGGAAGTTGTGTTAATTCTAATGATGTCATATCTGTCTCTGTTGGGTGGTGGGTGGTAGGGGATGGACCAAATTTACCTAAACGAGATTCAGGTCCCATTATATATATTTTTATAATTAAGAATACTTTTATACTTAAGAATCAGACGTTTTCTTTATTATCAAACCGAGAGGGTAGACAATAATGTCTACTGACTTTCAAGTTACTTTTGTTTGTTTGTTTGTTTGTTTGTTTGTTTAAGGGCTTGCCCGCGCACTTTGCAACTGAGAACTACAACCGCTCAATGCATGTCCGGCAGGGAAGCTTGCAGCTATCAAAAGATTACATTGCAGTGATTTAATGTATTTCTTTCGTAGTAAGTAACAATCCTATATAAAGGGTTGTTAACAAAACAATTTAGTATTACAAAAGAATTATTCGCCTGCAAGTGCTATGAGCCCCTCAGGTGTTAAAACAACTCCATATCACACATCACAGTCAAAATGTTAACAGTCAACAATTATTAAATATGCCATTGTAGCCAGAGAAATTGGTCGTAAAGAAGTGACCAAAACTTGAGTTAGTGAATTTGTTTGACCCTAGTTGATCTGGGGTGATGAGTTTACTTGCAGATGCATTATGGTCCCTCGATGGGGATTCATATTGTCTTGTTAGTCATTAATTAATACAGTTCTGTGGTCCTCCATAGTTTTTATGATTTTTGTTTATGTTGGAAAACCTCTCTATAATTTTCCTTTTGTTTATTTTAATTTCATTTTGACTTTTAATTCATTTCTTTTAATTACTTTATTTCTTGTCTGAAATATTGTTTTGTCTTTTATTGTTTTTCTTTGTCTACAAATTTGAAATAAATATTCGTTAATATGAAAATAGATTTTAAATTTTATTTATTTTGTTTTAGTTGCCCGAAGTTCATATACCTGTGGCTTTGAATCCTCACAACAGAAGCCTGTTTATTGTTATAGGCCTACATTTCTTGATTTATAAAAGTGTGATTGCGGAGCTTCTACCAGATAGCAGCTGCTATGCAATTGTACATTATCATACAGAAATGCTACATTTTGGAACGATGTATGGTGTGCCTTTGTGTCACTGTCGATAGAAGAAAAAAATAATCGTACAAGGAGATTTGTCTACCAGAGCGATATCATTTTTTATTCTTATTATATACACAAGGTCATTTCTCCTGTGCTTCAGAATTGAAGAATGCACTTCAGATAGGCCAATGCCCTCTGCGTTTATTCACTAACACAAAAAGTGTAATCAGGTTTGCCAAACCGAATTAATTCGTGAAGACGAACAAGGGATAATCCGTGGTGTGAAAAGAGTCGTTTGGAAACCGCGAGGAGAGAGGTGCATTTTAGCGTGATTAACGGGAGAGGGCCGTGGGCACCTGCGCGTCAAATCACGGCGGGGTGACGAGCGGAGACCGCGGTGAAATGTTTACGTGGTTTAAGTGCCGATTGATTTTTCACGGGGATTTCTCTTGTTGTCTCACATTTGCTGAGTTTATGTCGGTTGAATTGGCGCTTCGTGGTAATGACTTTGTTCACATTTGTGTGGATATGATTATTGGGATTGTAACAAGTCCTGCACTTTTTTTTGACAAAACAAAAATGCAAATTAAATACCGTTATTGCATTGTATGATGCGTGTTTGAGATACAGTATTTACTTTTCCCGACAGCTGGTGTATATTTTCGGCTCAGGCGTGCTGATTAGTCAAGTCATGTATTGATAAAACGATCCCCCATGTTAACAGCTATATGCATTGCCCTTTTGCATTCATCAAATTTGTAGGTGATTTTTTTTTAGAGAATAACTTCGTCGGATCGACTGGAGTTAGAAATAGTCAACAAAAGTGTGTGGAGTAGCAGTTGTTATTCTACCGAAAACAGTGTTCGTAGTGGCATGTTAAGGTTTTGAAATCGACTTGTGGGGAAAAAGGTGTTTTTTTTTCATTAACCTGACGAAATTTCCTTTAAAAGAAACAAATCGGCAAGATTTCGCATATGGGGGCGGTGTCTTTACGTTATGGTCATTCGCCCATACTATGACGGTACAGAAAATCCTTTATTGCGCCGAAACTTTGAATTACAATATAATGTTGGCTATACACACTGGACTAGAGCCTCTGTAGTATTCTTGTAATCTTATTTTGATAGTACTTGCAGTTTGATTGCATTTGGGACAGAGCTCCGTTATGTACACAGCGGTGTCTGTGTATCACATGGCCATCGAGTTTGTATACAATGTTTGCATAGCGGGATCAGTGCGGACTGATCTCGATTTAATTAGGATTACCCTAATCCCGTTTCTCGTAGTAGAAGGGTTTTACGTTGGAAGTGGCCTCGGTGAACGAAAGTCACAATCGAGTGTTTTCTGGACAAGGAAAAGGCTTTTTGGAATAATTTGACTTTCCTGGAACCGCTTAAACAGAAAACCTAGTAGTTTGTTGTGCTGCTTGCATTCCGATGCCTTCTTTTATGCCGTAAAAATTAGTTGCGCAGTAAGTACTTGGAAATAGAAGGGCTGTTTGAATGTTCTGGCATAGAATTTCTCTCTTCGTAAAAAGTGTCATTGAAACATTTTCCACAAATCAACAAACCCAAAATGTAAAGGCAAGTAGAATTGTTAACTTGATTACTAATGCAATAAAGCCTTATAACTCAATTAAACATTTCTCAAGAGGCAACATTTTTCGAAAGACAAATGTCAGAGTCTCTGGACAGTGTTTTGCTTCACCAACATATTTGTTTTTAAAGTTTATTCATCGTGCCGTGCAGGACAACACTTTCCATTCCAGCAAAATTTTCCTCAAATCCCAACACGGTCGTAATTACTGAGGCAAAACGATTCCCTTGTCTCTATACAGGCGTGAAAAGTTATCGGTATTGTCCATCGACACGCGAGTAGGCGTGGCACGCACAAGTTATCAGACTCTTTGAGTGGTCAATCAGCGCGTTCGTACCGCCCACCTCTCGAAACGCGCTGTACGATTGGTCAGATTTTTTTCCACCGGCTGTCTGAACATCGGCTGTTTAGCATATCAACCAAACGACATGCGCTGTAATGGTGTATTCAACGCGCGAACAACAATATACCCCTGAGAAATGCACAATGTGGAATTACAAGCATTTTTGCATTCAGTCTCGATAGAGTAGTTATGTTCACACAACGCGTACAAGAGAAACTGTGTCACTGACCGACCTTGGCGATGCGAAGGAGATATTTTCCGGGCGTTTTCCAGCTAGTTTCTTGGACTAAGATGCGAAATATCCTTCAGTGGTAAAGAAGGTAAGTTTGTTTTCAAGAATTCTTTTTACATGTGATAGAGCGGGAATTTACCGTAACGTGAGACTTAAGTTGAGGTTTCATTTCCGTTGCTGCATGGAAATGCCAACTTGGTGGTTCGCTTCAGGCATAATTTACACTATGCAGTGATTTATAGCGTATACTTGTTAGCGTGCCATGGTTCATTTCAGGGCGTCTGGGGTTTTGGAGTTCTCTCGTCAAGCCAGGAGGGGGACACTTTTGACCGCTGCGACGCCGACATGTCGCGGTGCTGGAAAGCTTCCGTAGTGGGGTGATTCTTGATTTTTGACAGTGCCTCGGTACTGTGAGAGAATTCCCTTATAAACAGGAAAATTAGAATTAATACTGCGCCGTAACTCGCATCAGTGAAAAGCAATTACTCGTAATTTCTGGTTAATATGGGTAATTTGCTATCATGCTGTAGCCTAAACAGGTTTCTAACCTGGTGCACGAGGTAATTTTGAAATTTGTTTTCAATTTTCGTCATGACTATTAATTCAATGGTTAAAATGTAATTATAAACATTTAGCAAACTTTAATTTATATTTAGGCACTGAATTAGTGTGTGGTTTATTATGTGTAAAAGAGCTAATGCCGTTATAAAATGGGAGAAAAAAATAAGTAAAGTTTTCATGGTCTGAAAGATAAACCAACTATATAGCTCCATGGTAGCACCCTGTGACAAAGTAGAAATCTATTTCGTTAGTTGCTCAAGTATTTTGGCGCTCTCATTTTTCAGTTTGACCGGAAACTGGGCAGCATGCTGAAGTTTGTGAAACAAGGAGAGTCTGGCCGCGGACTCGGCGAGGAGTGGCCTGCAGTGTCTGTGGTCGCGGCACCGGAACACAAAGGTACAGTTAAAAATATCCAATATTTCACCTTTTGATTGTTGATCTATTCAAGGTGGTTTATTAAGATAAATATTTACAGAGTGAGAGCTATTTTGGAAATATTAAATCAATCTGCAAACGGACTTATTTTTTTCCATGCGTAGGCGGTGGCGTGTTTACAGAATGTATTAGTTACAATTTGACTTTTACTTGAGTGACTTTTGCCTTGATGCGGTCAAAATGAACTTTGACACAAATAATGATGGGCTGCAGAAAAACACTGCATATTATAACAACACGATGTCCATTAATGCTACGGCTTGGTAGATGGAATCTGATCAAGATTGACAAACAATACCTGCAAACCCTCCCCCAATAATTCGTAGTTCGATCACTGTCGGCAAAGAATTTGGCTCCTGTCTTGACTCTGAACTTATAGTCTAAATGAACATCGTTTTCGTGTGAACGTTTTCCCCCAGAGATTTAGCTAGGAATTCCTCCTTGTGCCATGGGATTTTCCGTACTCTTTCTTTCAGCATTCCCGGTTCATAGGCCAGCACGTGCTCTGCTTAAGTTTAGTGTAGCCCTTTTGGGCCCAGGATTTCATGACTGCACTTCTAAGCTCGATAACCCATGGGTTCATGGCCTTCTGTTCCTTGTTGTTCGAGGAGTAAAATCAGCCAAATATTTGCTTGAACATTTCTTGTGATGTTCGCCACAGCCCGAAGTCGGAGGCTAGTTCCTTCAATGCAGGGTATTCATCATCATAGCTAAGATTTGTGGGGGGGGGGGGGGGGGGGGGTTGTCATGAAAAAAAAACTCTTAACTGAATGATAGGTGCATTTTGTAAACGAGAACTATAATGGGCTAATAAAGCTGGACCCGAAATTGACGAGCTCGATCGGATCTCGGAAGCTGCGGGCCAACGAATTCGTTGAGTCACGTAATTGTGCCACGTAGTAGTATCTGGAAGGTGTTTTGAGTAAAACAATCAGGTTTTTGACCCCAGTGACCTCATGATGACCTTTGACCCCAGTTTGGTCATGTGACATGTTGGAGCTGGGCTACTGATACTTTTGACAAAGTTTGGTTGAATTCAGTCAAAATATGGGACTAGGAGCAATAGACAATGTCAACGTTTGTTAAATGGAGAGACATGATGATTTGTTGAGCTGCTATCCCGCAGCTAAAAACACATGGGAATTCCATATTGCAAAAGGGATTTCTTAACAGTACTGAAATCAGGAAATATTCTGATAAAAAAATTGGTGAATCAGGAAAAATCCTGACAAATCTCACCCCCGGTTCTGGGTCTGTGTGTGGGGTGGGAGTGGTTGTGGCCGGGAGGGGGGGGGGGTAATGACAAAGTGTTACCTGACCTCATTATGAAGAACCTTGTAAAACATGATATGATCGAACAGTGTCCCAACATGTGTGTCTTTATTGTAGTCAGCGGGGTACATGCAATAAAACCCCCAACCCCACCACTTCATCAAGGTCACAGATGGTAGCGTGTGAGATGTGAAAAAAAAAGTTTTCCACAAAAGCTGTATTAGATGCCCTCATTTCCAGTATTACAGACTAGGGTTTTAGTTCACACGATTTGCTTTCGAGGCCACATGTTGTGATCCCGTCTCTGTTTGCATACAACTCGAGAAATGAACCATAGGCGATTGAGCAGGGGTCTTTTGTGTCCAGTTGTAGAAAAGAAAGTGGGGCAAGAATTTCCG